CCCCAAAACCCCAAAACCCCAAAACCCCAAAACCCCAAAACCCCAATTGTGCATTATTTATAGAGATTATATAATTTAGAGGATAAAGTGGCTATGAACAAGGTCTTAGCGCACCATAAGAGAGATTTTAGAGGGAATAGGTAGGTGATATGGATAATTTATATAGGAATGGTAAGGTAGAGAGGAGATAGGGGTAAAATTAAGGCTAGGAGAGAGCTTACGAGCGCTTAGAGATGGAATTTTGGATTAGACTAAGATTTTAAACCCTGAGGGTTTTTGAAGAGGGGTGATTAGGAAATTAGAAATTATATACTGTAGATATCATTATAAAAGCATTATAAAAGCACTTAAACAAATAAAAATAGTAAAAAGAATAGATTTTAAACGGTAGTTAGGACAATTTTTGCGATTTCTTAATATAATCATAGGTTTAAAAAGCCCAAGAAGGATTAAGATTCCAAGGTAAGTATCTATCACTTTCCCCATTACTGCCTCTAAAATTCCCCAAACAGGCCAGTTCGCGCTTCATGTTCTCAAACAATATGCCACTTTACCCAATTTTATAATACATTTCTAAGTTGCTCCATCTGAATATATATCCTAAATAGAAGAGAACTGGCTGTAGCCAATCTCACAATGCCAATTATACAGACACAAGTTCGAAGAAAGGTAAGGCTAACTGTGACCCTAAAGAAGCATGACACCAGCAATTCAACATATCTTTCAGCAATCAACAAGAGAATTCTTAGACATCAAGGGAAGAAGCTCATGCCTAGTTTTAAATTGAAATAACACGAATCCGCGACAATTAAGATATGTAAAGTCTCCTCAGAAGAAACAAGAGAGTCCATTTGCAAAGAAGATTCGTCTTCCCTTCAGTCACTCACCACAACCATCGAGGTTGTTATCACCTGTAAAGAGCCGGAACCAGAAGACGGCCACTAAAGGTAAGTTCACACATTTTGGGAAGCTTACATTTCTACATTTTCCAGAGTTTAACCGTTTTTGTTCTAGCTAATATCAAGAAAATATTCAGAGTAGGATTTTGTGTAATATTTCAGAAGTTGCATAAGGATATCCAAGCGACGCCTATTATCAGAGTGAACAATGCAAGCCCTACGAAATCAATGGGTGCAGATGGTAAGTAATAGGAGTTTTTACATACACAAGAGACCTTAGGCATAACTCTTCAGTCGTCTGGGCTTCATGTTACAGTATCTTAGTTTACCATATGTAAAAGATGTATAAAATTTCCTATATCCTCGAAGGAATCATCTCAGGTTTATGAGTTACAGAGGTATAATAGTGGCATATTTCAAAGCTAAAGCAGCACGCTTGACCTTGCGCCTATAGATACGACTGGAGGGTTCACTGAGAAAAGCAGTCTCTTCATGACCTATAACAATGTAGGCATCTCCATTACCTGATTTAGGTAAAAACGGATAGCAATACAAGGTACCAAAGCAGACTAAGTTCTTGAAAGAGAGATTCTGAGTTTACTACTGGAGGAAATATTGAAGCAATAGACTCTAAGTAGACCCTCTTTGGTTAACTATAGGATGATATCAACAATTTGGGCGAGATTTGATGCAGTTGTACCAGTAAGAAATTTTCCTAGCTATTCTTCCTTCTCATATGGACTGAAAAAATTTGCTTAGGAACGGACTAGACGTAGTTCTAAAGGAAAATACTCAGCTTTCTTTGAAAGTTTACCTGTTGATCAACAAACAATAAAGAAAGTGGAGGCTAGAATAGCTCCTGTGCAAAATTCACAAATGACTTCCCAGAAAAATTCCAAAAGAATGTAAATTTGTTCAATAAACCTCTAGGTCAAGCTTAAGGCCTATCATGAATTCTGTAATTGAAGGAAAGGAGCGTATTAAGCAGCCTCGGCTGACTAATGCTTTCATCCAAAAAGATTTCTTAACTCCATTCTAAGATGCATAATCAATTCTAAACCCTAAAATTTTCAATAAATATATCATATAGAGGGGTTTTGGGGTTTTGGGGTTTTGGGG